GAAGAGGATGAAGAATCTGAGGTCAGCTTTCCATATCGTAAGACCGTGGGTATGCTAATGTACTTGGCCACCGGAACAAGCCCGGATTTGGCGCTCGCGGTGGGACAGCTGAGCCGATTCGTAGCGAAACCCTCAAGTAAGCATGTGGGAGCACTCAAGCGTGTCGTTCGCTGCCTAGCGGGGACAACGGACTATGGAATTACCTACACTAGGTCTCCGGAAAAGGCTACGTGTGTGGTATTGGAAGGATATTGTGACAGTGATTGGGCGAACGATCCTGAGAACTGCAAGAGCACTACAGGCTTCGTATTTACACTAGCAGGAGGTGCAATTTCTTGGATGTCACGACGGCAAACTATTGTGGCACTTTCCACGGCTAAGGCCGAATACGTGGTAGCATGTGAGGCTACAATGGAGGCTATTGCTGAAAGTGACATATTACAGGAGATTTGGATGACGAAGGACGTGAAACTCCGGCTAGGGATCGACAACCCGGCTGCACTGGTAATGACGACGGACCCGAGCTACAGCCGACGAACACGTCACATCGAATCGCGGTGACACTACGTGCGTGCACAAGTGGAGAAGGGTGTGATCGAATTATACAAGGTGAAGGACACGGAGAAACCAGCGGACACATTCACGAAGCCCTTAAATAAGACTCTTCTGCATTGCTTGTTGCAAGCAGTGGGAATTGGCGCCTAAGGTTTCGAAGCTTTGCTTCGAAGGGGACGTGTTGAAGATCAGGTTGGCGCCATGGCAGGAGAAGCGACGCCGGCGTTCGACACAGATCGGGGTATGAGAGGCGGCGCGGGACAAGAAGACTTTGCAGGATATGCTGACAGGAATCTGGGACTAGTAGGAGCTCTCGCTCAGCCGCTTAAGGAAACATTTATTCATTCGTACATTTCAGTCGTTGTGAGCACGTCATCTTGGCAGCGAGTGCACTTCACAAGAGTGTGTGGCTCATCTGGAGTGGTGTCGCTCTCCGCTTCCATGGAGAAATTAAACAGTGAGTGGTGGTGATTTAGCGCATTTCGTTTTAGTATTTGATTGGGTAAAAATGATTTGGCTAGACAACATGATTGGCTAGCTTGAAATGGCTGTTGGAATATGTCCGGCTGTTGGATTCCGTCCGTCTGTGTACAGTAGCGTCGCATACAAGCTTAGCAAGGTAATTTGTCTTCATCTTTGGGGATGGGTCAACCTACGTGCATAATAGTATTTGTGCAAAGGAAACCTTTTTAGAAATTTTTTTTAGCTGATCAATCAAACGATACAAAACGGTTGAAATCGCTGGATTACCACCAGGGGTTAATAGTACCGCCAAAAAGGCGGTAGCACTATTACCGGTAATGCTAGGCCATTTTTTCCCGGTAATACTAATAATAGTATTGAAATCTCATCACGGTATTAATATTAGTACTATTAGTACTAATAGTCAAAGTACTATTCTACCGCTTTCGAAGAGTCACGCGACTTGCGCGCGTCTTGCTTCATCATCACAATCTCGTTCCTGTTGTGCCGCAGTAGTAGCTGCTTCTCCGATCGCCTGCTATCTGTTCTGGTACGAAGCGGCCCCATAATTATTTCCCCCGTAGAAAACACTCGCTCTTGAAACGCCGACGATGAGATCTTGCCGAGATGAATACGTGCAAGCAGCGCCATTGAAGGGTATTGGCTCTCGCCTCGTCGCGAAACCATTGCAGGACGTCTACGTGTTGGTACAACCCCAGCAGCGACCAGCACATACCCGTCCGACTGTCCGTTGTCATTGCAGAGGACAGATCTTCCTTCTTGGTCTCAGGGTTTTGGCGCTGTGCAATCTCGAGCCACTCAGGCTCCATCTCGAGCCACTCGTTCATGATACTGTCCGCTCTTGCATTTAACTCCGACTCCTTGACCTCCTCCCTGGTCTTACTTGTACGAATAGGTGCCCCGAGCAAGAGCTCGTCTTCGTCGTCCCAGCCTGTCGATGATGGAGAAGAGAGCGGGGAATTCAAGTCCTGGCTGCGTAGGCTGCTCTGCGATGAAGTCTGCGATAATGGCATCTTGCCCACCTTCGCCATCTGCGCAAACACTTTTCGATGCTCGTCTCGAAGGAATTCCAGACCATTTTTGTAAGTGGCTTTCTCCTCTTTGCGGGAGACGTTGCCAACCGCAGCAATTTTCTTGGCGCTGGACTTAGTACGAGGATCCAGTAATATACACACCATAGCCTCCCTCGTCACTTTTGGGAACCGTGACTGCAGTTGTAGAAGAGTCCTTCGCAGGCACGTTTTCCCAGCTTCTGTGAACTGGTCAAGCTTTCTCACTACCCGTCGATGACTTGCCTCGTTCCCATCCTTTGCTCGAGGGGCTTCAATAACCATAGTGTCAAACTTGAACGATTTCAGCTTCTTCTCGGCAAGTCTCCGGAATACTACCATGTATGAAGATACTAGATTCTCGCTTTGCACCTCAACCAATGCCAAGTTGGCGATAAAGTGCGCTACCGCTTCCATCTCGGTTGCCAGTACCCAGTCGTCTGCAGACAAAGCTATCCACACGCTAGTAGACTCCTTCGTCGACTGGAAATAAGCTTCAAAAGCCGCATGGTTAACCACAGACCGCCTTATCAGCTTGCACGTGTACGCGACTCTAACATCTTTGTCGGTCATGGGGTCTAGCTCAGGGTACGAGAGAGCTTCTTGAATTTTCTTCAACGCGTTGCGCTGCTTCGGCGACCGGAAGTGGTTGTTCAGATTGCGTATTTTCTGAATGACTTCACCACCCTTCTCCAGAGATCCACCCGGTGTAACTATCGTAACTACTTTATCCCATGAATGGCAGGCAGCATTCCACACACTGTTGGTTTGTATGTTGTCCTTCAATCCGATCCCATATCCGATACACAGGTTCAGCAGATGCATCGAGCAATCTTCTTGCTCTCTGTCAATATGGTCAGCTACATTGCGCGCTGAGGGCGTCGTGTCGGACATGGTGAAGCGAGTCATTGCACGGATGTCGATGTCGTACTTCGCCTTAAAACCACTTTCGGAATGTTGGATTGCCTGTTGCCGCACGCATCATCTCCTCGAAGGGGCCTGACCTGCATGCCGGAAAGGAATTCCTTGCGTAATTAGCCACTTCGAAATCAGCACGTGTAGCGTCTTCTCATGCGCCTTGAAGAAACGTTTCGCCAAAGACTTATTCCCCGCAGACGAACCAGTAGTAATAGGCGCAGAAGTAGTAGCATCATTCTCACCACCACAAGTCAAGTCTAAAACGACTCGGGTGTCATCTTCCGCACTCATGACATCGTCTTTCGCCTTTTGAGCTGTTGTCTGTTCTGCTAAAATCGCCAAAGGATGGTCCGCATGTCTCGACTTGATATGCTCCTTGGCGTTGCTCGTATTCTTCGTGCTGCGTAAGGCATCCTCCCAGCTGTAGGGCGTGGTATTCTTCCGTGCCTTAATCTCCTCACATCACAGCAGACAAATGTTGCGGTACACTTGGGTGGAAGGCTTCCACGGATTTCGCTTTCTGTAGGGTTTATCCAATACATGAATTAGGCCCCAGACAGAATCAGTAGTACCAACCTTCCTTGAGTGTGTCAATGAAAGCGGGACCCCTAAGTCAGAAACAGGAGAGGCCGGGGGAGGAGGCAGCACACTACGTAGGTTACCATCCAGAGGAGGTTTAATGGCCTTCACCTTGGCCACTTTCCCTTTCGCCGCAACCTCCGACGCTTCACTGGACGCACAACCGCAGTATCCGATGCCACGGCGACTTCAGGAGACGGCACGAAATCGGAGTCGGATCCAGCCCAGATATTCCTCGACGCAGAAGAAGATGTAGCGGCGGGGACCGTCGAAGAGGTCGTCACGGCTGGTGTAGAGTCCTTAGCGGTCGGGTAAATCTTCTCTACACATGGTTGACTGCAGAATCTACGTATCAACAGAGAAGAGGGTTAGACGTGGAAATAAGACACAACAATGAGCAAATTACCTTTCATTCAACGACGACGTGTCTCCTTCAAATACCCCGATTGCACACAGGTGGTGAGTGGGCTTTCCGCATACGGTGCAAGGGTCTGTCTTGAGCTCAGGACCTTCCACACAGCCATGAACTGCACAAGGCATCTTCAGCCGTCGAATCCTGGTCGATCGCAATGGCGGTATCCAGTTCTTTTCTGAAATGGCAAACGACGCAGGACAGCCACAGGTTCGATGAGTGCTCAATGAGGGGCAGTTGCTTGTTCACTGGCTTTCTGGTAAAATAGTACTGTTCAGAGTACTATAGTATCGCCTCACCTGAGTAATACTAATACTAATAGTGAATACCACACTATACGGTATTAATAGAACTAATACTCAAATAGCATTAGTAATATTATTACTCTAGATTACTAGTTTGTCAAATACCCTTAACCCCTAATTACCACGTCCATTCGCCGGATGGACTGGACAAAATCAAGAGGACATTTACATGGCTACATTTGCAGCAGGATAATGTACGGAAGTATCGATGCAGGGTTCGCCAAAACCCAGCTTTTCGGATTTTAGTGGGTGGGTGGTATTAAAAAAACTGGGTCTTATCTGTCATTTACACAATTATAAAAAAACTGTGTCACCTCAGAGAAATATGGAGCGGTTACAGATTCTTTAGGGCGGTTAAAGACAATATAGATGGATATAACCGAGTTTTGGTGCGGTCCAAGGGAGAAATGTGCTCTAATGACAAATGGTGGCGGTTGGGGTAGCTGGTTAACCGAAAGCGGGTATTGTAGCAAATGACCCGCTTAAGGTGCCGGCGCACTAAAGATGCATGGGCGAAGACGCGGCCGCATCGAGTGCAGGTAAAGCCAGTCATGGCACTTGCGTATTGCGTCAGCTCTATCGTTCTTACTTTATTTTTATAAACCCAGAAAACCCAGCCTAAAAAAAGAGTGGGTGGGTGGGTGTTTAATATACCCAAAACCCAAAAATTTCCAAAACCCATTTTGCGAACCCTGATCGATGCCGTTGCGCGTGACGCACGGACTGGTACGCTGGTCTCCATGCGGTCGGTACTTGGCAGCTGCATGCGGCAACCGCCTGTCCATACGTGACGCGCTTTCGCTACAGCTTGTGCAGCGCTACTCGAGTGTGGACGAAGTGCAGACGCTGGTGTGGTCCGAGGACTCGGAGTTGGTACTTACGGCCTCACTCAGGCGAGCTGTAGTGCAGCTCTGGTCAGTGCAGGACGCATCCTGGACCTGCAAGATCTCGGAGGGTGTGGCAGGACTGGTTCACGCTAGATGGACACCCGATGCGCGTCATGTCGTGACAGTGTCCGACTTCCAACTGCACGCTACCGTGTGGTCCCTCGAGGACCCGACAGCGAGATGCTCCATCCGCAGTCCTAAACTCGCAGCCGATGGTCTCAGCTTCTCGAGAAATGGAGAATTTCTGGCTGTGGTCGAGCGCCACGACTGCAAGGACTTTATTGGCGTCTACAGCTGCGAATCGTGGGAGCTTACGACGCACTTCTCCATCGACAGCTACGACTGTGTTGAGATCTCGTGGTCGCCCGATGACGCGTACGTGGAGTGACAACGAATCTGTTTGCTTTCTTATTGAGAGGTTGTTATGTGCAGGGCCATCGCGGTGCGGGATACCCACTTGGAGTTTAGAGTGTTGCTGTATTCACCTGATGGGACGTTGCTGGCCAAGTACCAGGTAAGGAGCTGCGAAGAGATGCTGAAGACAGTTTGTATTGATGATGTCGTTTCTGTCTTCGTTTTCTAAGGCTTATGAGAATGCTCTGGGGCTGAAGACTATGACGTGGTCACCGTCCGGACAGTTCCTGGCGCTTGGAAGCTACGACGAGCATCTGCGTGTACTGAGTCATATTAACTGGAAACTCATCGCAGATTTTGATCACGAAAGTGTTGCCGTCACAAAATGTCATACAAACCACGCAGCGGTGAGGGCCGCATCGGACACGGAATGGATTGCTTGGGAACCTTTGTATGGTACTTACTTGTCTCTTCGTGTGCGACTTCCAGATAGAACAGGAAGAAAACTTCGCCGATGCCAATGTGATGGATCGACCGCAAGGCAAACGGGTCTCGGTGGCACAACGAAGCTCTTCCCTGCTGTCGAACTCGTTGCAGGCGGCTTCGGCTGCCGCTCAAGCGGCGGGTGGCAAAAAGTCTCGTGATATTTGCTTTGTGCCGCGGGAACCTCCTTTTTCTGTTCAAACAATTGCCTCTGACCCATTGTAAGTATGCCTACGACAACTGTGGTGTTGTTCTCTTGTTCTGATACACAAATGCTTCGTTTTGTAGGACAGAGAATCCAAAGATTGGTATTAGCCGAGTAGTGTGGAGTGCCGATTCGGCGTTCATTGCTACAAAAAGCGACCAGATGCCATACAATGTGTGGATCTGGCGCACCGAGAGCTTGACGCTGCACTCGGTTGTATCGCTGCTAGAAACGGTACGGAGCTTGCGATGGGATCCGGTACACACGCGCCTCGCAATTACGTCGGGGAAGAATCGTGTTCACCTTTGGACAACAGAAGGCATCTCATGGATCGACATACCCACTGGTACGATGTATCAGTAGTGTTAAAGATTGCCCTATAGCTCACTTTCAACGCCATTCCCCGACAGAGTCGTTCCAGGGACTGGGTCTTCAATGGTCACCATCAGGTGATGCTCTGATTGCTGCTGGTCGTCAGGATTTTTGCGCCATAACGCTATAAACCCGCGGTGGCATTCAAGTCACAAGGAATTTGTGACGCTGGTTCAATTCCGCTGATACGTTGCATCACCATCACACGTTCATTTGATCACGAAAAGCAAGTCTTGGGGGGTGACCAGCTCATCACCTGGAGGATTCGTGAGCACATACTGCGGAGAGGTCGCAGTGTTGGCACTGCGATAAATACCTAGCGTCATGGTGTCCTGATGAAGGCAATACACACTGGGTGGGCAGGCTACTCAATACCAGCAAGGAGAAAAGTAAATGCAGTACCTCATTGTGAAGCAATCCTTCCACAAGCAGTGCATAAGGGCGAAAATGATACCGCTCGGGCGCTGGGATCTGCGTCAATCGGTGTCGTGATCTTTGCACTCGGTTGGGCATCTTTATGCTCATATTCCCACTTATGACAAGTTGCGTCACCATCTCGATCATGAGTTGCTGGTTGGAGCAAGACCCCATGAGTGCATCCATGAAATTGGAAAAGTAAATGTGGCCTGACGCGTAGAGTGGACTGAAGAACGAGCTGTCGAGGAATTTCACGTCCTTGAGCAGATCGCGTTGGCGTGGCTCGTTAGCCGCTGCCTTTGCGTCGAACAAGGAGCCATTCCGGTCAATGAGAAACTTGACATTACTGGGTCGAATCATTTCAGCGACGATAAACGGCATTGGCCTCTTTTCGTTGGTCCCATTCCTCTCCGGTCGAGACGCCTCGTTCTGCAGGGCCTCAGTGATGAATCGGTGCGTAGTGATAGCGTCGACGTCAGCCATATTCTCATCCTTATTCTCCAGATCGTTTTCAAGGTCCATGCTGCTAGTGTTCTCCATCCCACAGTACGACATGATCAAGATACTCCGAGCGTACATCATGCGAGCTGTGTGGAACACGTGCATGCTGAGCGGTGACCCACGTACGAAATACAGACGCTCGTGCAGCTGATGTGCCATGAAATCCTTCTCCGTCAGCTGCCGCTGCGTAATAAAAATCACACCTGAAACCTTCTCATTCAGGTCACTCAAATTGGCCAGAAAGTCTTCGTAGTTGCTGGGAGTTCCGCACACCACGTAGTGATCGCTCAGTGTAATTGGCGGGGGGTCGCGACGGAAGCAAAGCGACATATGACGAATACGTGAGCGAAGGTTTCCACTGGCAGCAACTGACGGTCGAAGAAGAGGAGCGGGTTCCCAGTTGGAGGCGTGGGAATCATCTCGTTCCGTGAGCCGTTCAGTAAACTGACGTGCGGCCAGAATATCACCGAGCTGCGGACCCCCCAGAGAGTGGTTACTGGCAGTGACGATGCCGGTCGAAGTTGTGTCTTCGGTCTTCATGGTCGCGTGAGCTATCAGGTCTTTAACACTGGGGTTTAGCGTCGGTCCTGGTGTCTGTCCTGGCGTTTGCTCAGACAAGGCTTTACTACTTGAATACATGAACGACCCTCTTTCGCTTGGGTGAACGAACGACTCTCTATCACTTGGATACATGAAAGATTCCCGAACGCTTTGGTCTCGTGTACTGCGCTCAACTGTACTCCTGGCACTTCTGGCACTTAACGGCATTCGACTTGACAAAGGTTTAATAACTGGATCTTTCGTCCGGCCACGTGGTGTCGTTGCCTTTTTCACTAACTCGGCTGGCGTCAAAGCAATCACTGGCATGACAGGCTTCGAGGGTCTGCCGACTGGCGATTCGGCTGCATCTGACGGGTTTCCTAACGAGTAGTTTTCATCGCGTGTGATGTGGTTCGAGTCTGTGTGCCTCGGAGTAAAGCGTCGAGCGTCCAAGCGGTTATCTTCAGCAGAAGGTAGTGTTGGGGTTTCTTCATTCTCAAATGCTTGCTCATCCGCTTCATCGTCCTCTCTGTCCACAGGCGCAATTTTGTCCATCGCTCGACCGGAAAACATGCTCAAACGAAGGCTTCTCTTCACATTAGGCTTGTCCGGGGTTGAGCTGATGCGACGGTCACGACCAAATCCAACTGACACGCGACGTCCGAAAGGAATTTTGTTCTCAATCGCAGCAGTGAGGATGGTTGCTACTGTTCGAATGTTACGATTGGCACTCATCCCCAACGAAGCAGGAGCAATATCAGCGTGGCGAGCGAAAATGGCTGGAGTCATTTTTTCGATCTTGGAGGCGATGTCGTTCCCGCGGCCAATGAAGAAAACACTCAAGAAATTCCCATCCGACAGTTGTTCATCAACAGGGTAAACGGCGGTCGTGTCCTCGATGGTTCGTAAGCCGACCAATGGAACGCCAAATTCGCGATAAAACAACACGGCGAGAGCTCGATACGATGGCATGTTGAGTAAAAATGGAGGTAGAGCTGCTTCACATATCTTCTGCTCACACCCTGAGAGGTAATCTGACAGCCAATATCCTCTAAGAAATGCAACGAAATAAGCATGTGTCACAAACGAGAACTCGATGGTTCCCCCAGCAACAATCGTACCTGCACTCTTCGGTGTGGGAAAACTTATGAATGAGGTTTCCAAAAAAGGGATTTAATCCTCGAATCCATAGACATTTGCCGAAAAACGCCAGCTTGAGCTGCTCCAAGCAGATCACAGCAGTGGCTCCGGAAATGTGGAAATGTCGGGTGTTATCGAATTTGGAAACTTGGACGTGCAAAGGTGCTGCTCAAGAAAAAAAAATAGTTAGGTACAGTACATGTACGTTAGACTGTAAGCGTACCATGTCGGTTGTTCTTGCGCACTGAGCACGTGATCAGGTTGGCGGCCGTATCGTTTTGATCGAGCGTTCCGCTGTGTTTTTTAACCATGACAAAACAGTATTCCGCCGTTGGAGCCGCGGCACGTTGGAGATCTGCGGCAACCATTGCTGAGCCCTGAAGATAGATCACTCTCTCCTCATAGTCCGGATGGAGCAGAACTCGCCTCAAATCATTCGATGGCAATGTAGGTGCCAGGATTACTACTTTCCGGCGTGTTCGACGCTCTTCATCTTTATGCAGCCAATTGTGTAAAAAGAAAAGCAAGGCTCCGTTTTCAACCTCGCCACAGAGCAAGACGTGTTGTGTGCTCTTGTCAGGTTCATACTTTTTATCGAATGCTGTCTGTTACATAAAATATCACGTCAGTGGGGTTATAGCTCTGCTATCAGACGATATACTTACCTCTCGGCTGAGTATATATGAGTACCCGCTAATTTGAATAGGAATCAAGGCACCAGCGAAGAAGATCAGTGCCACATCGAAGGCTTTACCCAAATTAGTTTTTGGTGCAACATCTCCGAATCTAGATCAAAACAATCTTAGTGCGGGCGTCAACCTTTTCCCTCAATATCACTGCCGTACCCGACTGTCGCAATGGTAATGCAAACAAAATAAATGGCGTCTAAAAAAGTCATATCTTGGCACGTTTCGCCAGAAATCTGTGTTCCTTTGTGTACTGGATCACAGTACTCGATGGTCTACGGAATGAATAAAAAGACATTCACTCGACCATTTATCCAAAATCAAGGCTGCATTCTTACCTGCATAAAGATGCCCCCGCACATTATGACGCATAGAGTTGTCAGACAGATCAGCAGACCTTGCCGGAGTTTTGCGCTTTTTGCTAGTCGAAGAAGGCGGTAAAATTGTAATAACCGCATAACCCGCAACATCATTAGCAAGCGAAATGCGTGGGTATGTGGAATGGAATCTGTTGTCCCAGTTGTAAATTCCACCAGAAGCGGCAGGACGCAAATCATCTCGACCACCGATAACCAGTGTAGCAAAAAGCTTCTGCGGTTGCTTGCTGAATAAAATCTATCATCAACGAGTAGATCAGATTCAGACTTTATTTCACACCTCTCAGAACTGAAGACATACCTCAAACCAAAATTCGCTAGCGTCGCTACGAGATTAATAGTATCGATCGCGAGGTACCCGATAGTGAAATTAGTGTCGGGGTTCTTCCAGTTCAGCTTTATCATGGCAATCACCATTACAAAGCTATTTGGTTCAAAGGATTAGTATTATCCACCAAAGGGGCCATCATTTTGGATTCCTACCTCAGAATACACTGAACAACATCAAGCATTACGCCCACTTCGGAGTCGTGTAAATTCCTCTCGATCCATTGTCGTCTGCTTTCTCCCTTCATTCTCCGTTTGATAGCTCTCCTCATCCGTTTGGAGAATTTCCGCAATAAGTCTCTCACTACAGGCCGCTTCCACCTGCGAGCCGAGCGCATTGTTAACGAGAAAGAGGTAGATGGATCTGTTAAAACATGCGCAAGGCCGATCGGCCCCTTCGATCGCGGCAAGGAATCCAGTCGAGATTATAGAGACAAGCGCAGAGCCTCGCGCTGCTTGACTTGCTGCGTTACGGTCTACTCTTGTGTTCCCATTTTTAGCCGGCGGTTAAACTCCCCTCAAAATGGCGCGCACGTAACCAAAAATGTCGATTCCTCGGTCAGTTCACGTAATGCAAAGATTTATTAAAAAAAAAAGGCAAGTCGACGCACTAATGTGGGGCCTGATTACGCGTCCTTCGGGGTTGGCTTGGCCACTTTGGGCGTAGCGTCCTCGACTGTCTTAGGTGCCTTCTCCTTCGACTCGTCATTCGCTGCCATCTTGGCTTGTTGTAGCGCACCAGTCACGTACTCTACAGAGTTGTTGACGAGCACGACACCCTTGTTAACGAGGTCTGTGCCGATTCCGCCTGTCACCTTCTCGTCCACTTTCATGGCTGTGGCCGACACGCCTAGTGCTCGGTCCAAATCCGAGACTTTGCCGGCCACCGTGCCCACGACGCCCGAGACTGTATTTACGACGCCGTAACGACCGTCCAGCTCCTCAGCCTTGCCCACGACTCCACCTGCGACGACGTAGGCGCCGTAGCCGGCACTGAAGAGCGTCTCTTTTAGCTGCTCAAAGCTTGAGTTGCTGCGTTCGCGCGTGGCCACAACAATGTGCTCAATGGATGTGGACACAGAAGTCGTGGCCGACGAAACGCCCCCCTTGACCGAATCCACAGAGCTCGTGACACTAGCGCGGAACTTCTCGTCGTAGCTGCGGCCACGATCCTTCAGGCCGTCGAGCGCCGCTTGCACCTTGCTAAACGAAGCCTTGGCCACGTCCACGACAGGAGCGGACGTGCTCTTCGACTTTTCCTTGAGTGATTCGCCCAATTCTTTGAGTTCATCCACCGACTTGTGCGTCCGCTCGATGGCCGCTTGCAGATAGGAACTAGCCGTCTCTGAGACGTTGTAATGAGCGTCGTACTCGGTCAACTTGGCCTTAAGCTGCGGGCATCAGACGTTAGAGTAAATCGTGACTTTTTAAGATAGGCGGATGGGCTTACCGACTCGAGATACGTCTTGGTCTCCGCCGTGCCCTTATGAATCTGCTCTTGTAGCTTCTCGATCTCCTGCGGGTCACTAGACGCCATGGATACTGTATCGGATACTTGCTGTGCTTGTCGAGAAAGTAAAACTGCGTTTCGGTATCACAGAAGAAATCGACGCAAGGGAGATCGCGAATGTGACGTTGCCAGAATTCTGAGAAATGTTGACAAGCAGCCACGGTGGAGGATTTTTTCTAGAAGATCTGCTTCAAACTGATTGGTCGTTATTATTTTTTAATTCAGAATTGTGCGCCAAAAAGACAATGGCCGACGTGGAGATGAAATCGGCGGAAGACGCGCCATCGTTTGAGGGCATTTCCAGCCGCAACCGCTCGACAGAGTCTTGGCCATGGGTGGAGAAGTACAGGCCGTCATCTCTGGATGATCTCATCGCACACCAGGAGATCATTTCGACGCTCAACCGTCTCATCGACGCGCAAAAGTTGCCCCACTTGCTGTTTTATGGACCACCGGGCACGGGCAAGACGTCCATGATCATTGCAGCAGCGCGACGGCTGTACGGCAAGAACTACGGGTCCATGGTGCTAGAACTCAACGCGTCAGATGACCGTGGTATTGATGTGGTACGTAACCAGATCAAGGAGTTCGCTGGCACCAAGAAGCTCTTCAGCCAGGGCGTCAAACTCATCATCCTGGACGAGGCCGACTCCATGACAAATGACGCCCAGTTCTCACTGCGTCGCGTTATCGAGAAGTACACGAAGAACGCTCGTTTTTGCCTTATCTGTAACTACGTGAGCAAGATCATCCCGGCACTGCAGTCGCGATGCACGCGCTTCCGCTTTGCTCCCTTAAACGAGAGCCAAGTCAGCGGCCGTGTCAAGCACATCGCGCAGCTAGAAAAGTGCGTTTTTCTACTGCTATTATCTGCTGCAGCTATACTGATTGATTGGTTGATGTTGCTCTGCCAGGTTGAACATGACCGAGGACGGCTTCAAGGCCATTCTGCGTCTTGGCCAGGGTGATATGCGTCGTATTCTGAACATCTTACAGGCGACATCTATGGCCCACGACATTGTCGACGAGGCCAATGTGTACCTGTGCACGGGCAACCCCCTGCCGAAGGATATCGAGTCGGTGACTCAGTGGCTGTTCAACGAGAGCTTCACCGCAGCCGTGCGCAAGTGTGCCGAGATGCAAAAGCTCAAGGGCTACGCTACGAGCGACATCCTGCAGGACGTTTACCGCTACACTACGGAGCTGGAGCTGCCGCCGCGCTGCCGCATGTATTTATACGACGAGCTGGCCAAACTCGAGCACCGCCTGTCTAACGGCACGACAGAGGAATTGCAACTGGCCTCCCTGGTTGCTATCTTCGCCATTGCACGGAATCAGATGTCTACCGCAGTTGCTGCAGCGTCTAAAGCCTAGAATTTCACTCTTGATTAGAAAATGGAGAGCAGCATTGCCAAAGTGAAAAAAAGCTACGTGTACTTCCTTTTCCTTTTGAGCAGCAACCACTTGCCGGGCTGCAGGAGGACCACAATCTGGTCTGTCTAGCAGCTCAACCCGAAGTGACACGAAGCTGCTTGGTGTACCATCGAGAGCTAGCACTCCTGTCTATCCTGCTTCAAAGTAGCACCACTCTTCAGTGGGCTCCTTTGTTTCCTCCTCCTCCTCGTCGCATTGTCAGCTGCTTACTTTTCGAGCGCCATCACCTTGCCGATGGCAATCGTCTTACCCTCGTCACGAAGCGTGAGACGGCCGAGCTGTGGCATATTCGCGAACGTCTCAATCGTGATGCTCTGCTCCACTTCGATCCGGCAGATCACCGACTGGCCCTGCTTAATGAAGGTCACGTGCTTCTTCACCGGCTTGCCCGTCTTAGGGTCAACTGGACGCAACAACTTAGCGACCACGCACTCTTGAGCCACAGTGTGAATATGGAGGATACACTTGTAGCCAGCAGTCAGCAGGGGACGGTGCTCCAGTGTGTCCACCAGCGCAATCTGGGCCGCGAACGCGTGGATGGCGCGAGGAGGAGCCTCTTCCTTCGTCCCGCAGAGAACAAAACCCTTCTGGATGTCGTCAAGGCCGCATGACAGACGGATCGTCACGTTCTCGCCGGGTTTCGCCGTGCGTACTGGCTGCTCGTTAATATATACTTGGTTCACAACAGCCGTGGCATTCGTGGGCATCAGCAGCACCTTTCGGCCAGTCTTGAGGATACCCGACTCCACCTTGCCCAGAGCAATGGTACCGCGCTCGGCGTAACGATCCAGAATGGGCACGCGCGTTGGGCCATCCGGGTTACGGTTGGCGATATGCAGGGTGTCCATGTGACTAATGAGTGATTCTCCTTCGTACCACGGAGCCTTCGACGTATTGACACGCAATTTGACGTTGTCACCATGCAGACCGGACACGGGGATGAAGGAAACATCGCGCTTGACAGCGAAACCACACATTCGCAGGAAAGGACGGAGCTTGTTAACGCACTCGTCGAAGCGATCCTGGCCCCAGTTGCACTCGTCCATCTTATTAATCACGACAATGAGCTTGTTGATACCCAGCGTCTTGGCCAGCATGGCGTGCTCACGGGTCTGCCCACCGCGCTCGAAACCCGTCTCAAACTCACCCTTTCGAGCCGAAATCACGAGGATACCCACATCAGCCTGCGACGCACCCTGAATCATGTTTGGCACGTAGCTCTTGTGCCCGGGGGCATCCAGAATGGTAAAGCGACGAGTCTCCGTCTCAAAGTGGGCACGTCCGACCTCGACGGTCTTACCCTTGGCACGTTCCTCCTCGCCCGTGTCCATGATGTAGGCAAGGAACCAACTGTCACGGTTGCGCTGCTTGGCCTCACGCTCGTATCGCTCAATGGTACGCTTGTCCACCATGTCCATGAGGTACAAAAGGTTACCGGACAGGGTCGACTTGCCGGCATCGACGTGGCCAATGAGCACAACGTTCAGGTGCTCACGTGGGTCCTCGTCACCGACTTCCGCTTCCTCCTCAAAGCTTTCCTCCTCCTCCTCAACGGCCTCCTCAGCCTTAGTTTCCTCAGCCTTGGGCTCCTCCTTCTTCTCTTCGACAGCCAGCTCCTGCATCTTTTCCTCCAGCTGGGCAACGGGCTCAGCAGCAGGCGGGGCAGGGGCGGTAGGAGCGGGAGCGGCCGCAGGCTGGGCACCCAGCACAGCCGCACCGCCCTTCTTGGGAACGGGCATAGCAATGTCGAAGGCGCGAGTCGGAGCTGGAGCCGGGGCCGGCGGCGCGAAGGACGCGGGTGGCGTCCAGGTAGTGGCGCCTGGGTTGAAGGAGAATTCCTTGGCCGATGCGCTCAGCGTCGTCTTCTTGGCTGAAAGAAGCACACGCAAAATATACGCGTGTAAGGAGGACTATTGGCTGTAGGAGGTCCATGAGCCTGCAGGAGAGAGATAGCGATACGTACGGGGGTTGCTGCCGTCCATGGTGTTTTCCTTTCGGGATTTCACTCGCTATTGGAGAGGGGCTGCCCATCGAAAAGCTCTTATCAATCGCTTTTCACAGGTGTAGCCATATTTAATGGCTCTGCGTGACCGTCACTCTTGATAAAGAGATGACTAGCTCAGGCCACGAGCTGCTGCCGCGCAAGGCGGAGGACTTCCGCAAGCAGGAATACTGGGACCAGTTCTTCCAGAAGCGAGGCGAGAAGGCTTTTGAGTGGTACGGCGATTATGCCTCGCTACGATCTGGGCTGCAGGCACTGCTCGGTCTTCCTGACGATGCTCCTTCCTCGCTACTGCGTCGCCTCAAGGCCAAAGTGCGCGTGCTGGTTGTGGGCTGCGGTAACTCGGCGCTGAGTGCGGATTTAGCAGCCGACGGTTTCTCGAGTCTCTTGAGTGTGGACTTTAGCGAGCGTGTGATCGACGAGATGCGGCGTAAACACCCGGTGCTGCAATGGCAGGTAATGGACATGACGGACATGCGTGCGTTGGAGGACGCCAGCTTCGACCTGGTGATGGACAAGGGCGCATTGGACGCGCTTATGGCCGAGGACACGCCCGAAATTAAGCGGGACGCCTTGAAGATGCTGCGCGAGGTACGACGTGTGCTCGCTCCTGGTGGTCGCTACTGCTGTGTCACCATGGCACAGGATTTCATCCTCCAGCATCTGCTGAGCTTCTTCAGTCTGAAAGACGAGACAGAACCAGAGCCAACGCACTGGAGTGTGGGCGTACAGGAGCTCCCACGTGACTTGCGCAAACCTTTCGCTCCGTTCCTCGCGGCGGCGCTCAAGTGCCCCAAGTCGGACTCTAAGGCTTCCAGGAAGGCGCAATACAATGCCAAGCAGTTTATCAGTGACGTAGGTTATTCTCGTCAGCAGTGGTTGACACACGAGGTGGAGGCCACGCAGTGGTTCGCTATGACACAAGCAGGACTGCGCCAACTGAAGGTTGGTCGACAGGAGGTCATTGAGCTTATCGCCAACGACGAGAAAGATGCGACCAAGGGTTTGGGTCAAAATGGCGCGGCGAACGGCCAAGTCAACCCGCGCTTTACGCTTCGTCTGGTGGACGCCCACATGCGCGGACCCAATGGCAGCTGCGCCGTGTTCCTGATCCCCCAAGGCCGCGAGCATGAGTGGATGTTTTCGACGGAGGAAGGAGCGAACGAGCTGGCGGCCGGCGCTGGATTCAGTCGCCTTATAATTGTCGCCCTTGGCCGGGACGGTCACGCCTTTGAGAGCACGGCGAAGGTGCAGGAGGAGCTGAACGCCAAGGTGATGGAACTGGCCCCTGACACGCATGGATCGGATGAGAAGATTCCGTATCTGACGGTGGAGGAAGGGCTCGGTGCTCGAAACATTGTACACCAAGGAACGTCACCACTTAGCGGTGCTTACTTCGTGGAGGAGGTGCAGGAAGACAGCGAGACGTTTCGTCGCCTGGTGTTTCTTAGCAATACCAACGTCATTCAGAGTGAGGTAAAGATGCTCGCTCGAGGAAACAATGCCCCTGCTGCTTTTGCTGCCTCTCCGGCCCCAGTTGAGACCCCTGCAGCTATTGATACATCCGACATGACGCCCGAGGAGGCTGTAGCTGCCGCCAGGAAGAAGAAAAACAGCAGAAAGAAGAACCAGAAGAAGAAAAAGAAGGCCCAGGCCAAACAGGCGAGCGTAGATACGTCCTATCTCGCATTCGAGTATCACAAGGGCATGGTTGCGTCGCTTCACGCAGCTTCGTTGTCTTCCAGATCGGTGCCTGACTCGCTACACCGGACACTGGTACTTGGTCTCGGTGGTGGCTGTCTGGCCCAGTATCTTCACGATAACGTCCCAGGCATGGATGTGACGGCGTGTGAGCTGGATCCGACGATAGTGACGGTGGCAGAGCAGTACTTTGGCTTCAAGCTGGACGAACATATGCGTGTAGTGGTCGCTGATGCACTCAAGTATGTGGCAGAGCAGTCCTCGGCAGCTGAGAAGCAAAGCTTTGACTCCATCATTGTGGATGTGGACGCCAAGCAGCGTGATGTAGGCATGAGTTGTCCACCTGTCAGCTTCGTTGAGGACGCGTTTCTGGCTCATGCTCACAGTTTGCTGGCCCCTCGTGGTGTGCTGCTTATTAATGTTTCCTGCCGTGATAGCGGTTTATACGAGGAGATCATCGCACGACTACAGCGTGTGTTCTCTGGCTCTCGTGCTGTGCTGGCGCTGAAGCCCAGCGAAAAGGATGTGAATAGTGTCGTTTTCATTCGCAAGGCTCACACGAAGGAGCCCGACGCTAAGACATTGTTGCAGCAGCTGCATGATCAGGGGCGTCGACGTGGTAAGGCCCAGGACTCGCCACGTTACGTTGATGACGAACTGTGTGAGCTCATCCGTGACATCGAAATCACCAAGTAGACCAACACGTAAGTAGGCCCATTTTGTTCTTCTCCGTCTTACATCGATGTTCCTCCAGCTATCTACTGTGTTGTGTCTACTTATCCCATGTGCTTGGATATCGAGCAGCTTCGTCCTCCCACTCCGCCCGGAACGTGTCAAAGCGATACAAATTCCGTTCAGGCCTCGAGATTTTGAGATCCGTGGCGAGTGAGTCGGTACCTACAAGGCCTCGACTGGTTTTGTGGGTCGTTGACACCTTCTTCCTTCCGCTAACTCTCGTGCCTCCTCGACTTGAAGTAGTCGCTGAAGACTCCACGTTGTAGAGCTGAACAGTGCACCAGACCACGGTGAGTGCCAACACGTTCCCGTGTCGAGGATGTCGGGAAATCCCTACAACTTTCGCTGCAACGGTGCGTTCTCCAATAGCCTCGGCGCCTCCAGTGGAGCTGGTCACTGAATATACCGAGGCCTGTGTCAAACCCGAAGTGGATCTCGAGAAACGATCAGCGTCTGTAGTACGACGCATGAGACGTTCGCAGAAGAGCACAGTGTCGCCAAGTACCACATCTCCTTCCTCGGGCCCGCATTCGATGGTGAAATAGTCGGCAGCATTTCCATATCGTTTGGCCAGTCGAGCTCGACGTTGTGCGTCCTCTTTGCTAGTCGTGTAGAGTTGCGAGACCGTCGACTGTGCGCTGGGGATTCCATCGCTGTTGATGGCAAACACTCGAAGACGATACACCATCTCTGGCTGCAGCTCGCGAAGATATGCCAGAGGCTCACGACCATCGAATACACGACGCCATTCGCTGGGGCCATCATTCATGCTGGAAGCTCGTGGGGTCAGCGCCTCGATGCGTTTGCAGTCTACAGTATATCGAACTGCACCACCCGGGCCTGGATGCCAGCGGACGAGTGCAGTATCGGAGCCCACATCCACTCTCCCGACGCATGTGGGAGCACTGGGGGCGGTATAGATTGTCAGTGCCTCACTAAGTCCACTCGATGCGTGAGCTCCTACCAGTCGTAGGCGGAAATGGTAGCGAGTGTTCGGCTCTAAGCCACTCACGGTCGCTGTTGCTTCAGAGCCACGATAGCTCACAAGACGCATCTCGTCAGCTTTCGAGGTTCCTCCTGGCACCTGTGCATCCTCTTCCTCTCCGTCCCGACAACCAGCGTCGCGCTTCAGTACGTAGTGGACATCCGATTGTGTCCACCAGCGAGCGAATTCAGGGAACGAAATCTTGCCATCAGAATCGAGATCAAAAGCTGCAAAGTACGCTGCGAGTCGCTCTGGAGTCGGCGGCACTCCCAACTCGTTTAAAAGGGTTTGGAACTCGGGTAGTTCGAGATATCCACTGCCATCAACGTCGTAGCGATCGAAGCGCGCCTTGAAGTCGACAGCGCCATCATCCAGGCTCGTTTCCTGGGCCCATTCCTTCAGCAACCGAGACACCTGATCATCTGCGCCATTAGGCGCTCGTAAAGCTCCGGCAGATAAGCTGGGGCGGGCGTTCGCTACTGCCCAACGCAGTTGCAAGACGCCACTTTGAACAGCAGGCTCGAGGGCAGCGGTGTTAACTGTCGGTGGCGCTGGAGTGGGTAACAGTGTGTTCACGATGACTGGTTCGCTGTGTAGACTGAGTCTGCCCTCGGCATTGACAGCCTGCACTCGGAATTGATACGTGGATCCGCTGTGAAGTCCCAGCACCTCGAACCGTGGCGCTGCACCTCGATAGATCTCGACGTATTCTCCTGCAGACTCGTTGGAGCACTGTTTGAGAATATATCGACATGTTGAAGCGGAGGTGCTCGATTTGCTTTTTGAAGCTTTCAGGAGAGAAGGAGACGACGTGGCGCAACTCAACGACCTACGAGAGTTCGTCGAGGATCGAGAACCTTTAGAAGAACGAGAGCTTCGTGATGCGGTGTCCGAGAGATCCAAGACGCCATGGAAAAACCTCAAGAACTCGTCCCACGAAATGCTCTCGTTGTCGTCTGTCTCGATGGCGTCGAAAACACTCAATGAAGCTCCCGATGTCGCGCCGTTTCCAATTGCACTCGCTGCTGTAGTTTGCTGGAGGAAAGCAACCAGTTTGGGCTTGCGACGTTCGATCTCCTCCATGAATTCATCGCGTGAGATTCGACCATTCCCATCGGCATCAGCTTCTCGGAACACTTGCTCTAGCTCTCGTAGTCGTCGCATGTAGTAGGAGGAGCTCTCCCACGCGAGCTTTACACTGTAAGGGCCTATCGTAATGGCTAGTGGCTCAGCAGGTCTCGCTGGAGCTGTCACGAAGTATGAGAAAGCGTAGCCACCAGCACCGAAGCCATTAAGCGCACGGACACGAAAAACGTACTTGGTATTCGGCGATAGACCCGTGGCAGTGAACGAGCCGCGAGGGGCCCCGTCGTTATCGGAGAAATCCTTGGGATCGCGACAAATCTCGTGATAATTGCTAACTCGGAACGTAGCTGACCCCTCGGCGCCCGCCGTCTCAAGCTGATAGAAAGCTGGGGCTCCACCTTTTCCAGTGGCTGGCATCTTCCATCGCAGTTGCAGCATTGTGGTCAAGTCCAGTGTGTCATCACTGTCATCTCGCTCAAGTACGGGGATACTCGGAGGTTGACCAGAAGTTACTAACTCGCGAAGAACATGCTGCTCTCGCGGCACTGCAGACCACAACTCCAACTTCTTCAGGAAAGGTGCAGCTTGTGTGTCATCCCATTGAGCAAAGGCACATTGTCGAGGAGCTACACGTCGCACAGCGATCATATCGCTCTCAGGACTGCAATAGAATCTGCCTCGATACTGTTCGCGTCTACAAACATGTCCTGGCAACTCAGCCCGACGTCGATGGCTGGAACCTTCAGTACCGAGAACAAGCTGGAAGGCGTTCAGCATCCCGCACTCGTGACAAACTGTCTCCCACATACAAACGGAGCTCAGTAGTTGATCCGTGTCTCCGCGACACAAAGCACGACGTTCGTCGCCGACCACAGCCAAGAAGGCCTCCAGTTTAATCCGACCGGGTCCAGTCGCACCTTTGGTTTCATCAGGGTCAGCAAAGAATTCTACAAGTCTCTGAGTTTCTTCGGGTTGCAACACTACGCCAAGACCTCGAGCAAGAACTGCCAGCTCACGTCCAGTCACGAAACCATAGCGTGCGATGAGGTTGGCTTCTTTCAACTCCTCGTCCAGCTCTTCACCGTTTTCGTCGATGGCATCACCACGAGCCAAAGCCTGTTTGTGCTTTTTAGTGCAGTATTCGACACATGCTTGACGGTAGTTAACTCCCGACGGGCGATGCAGCAGCTTAAGGAAGACGTCACGCAATGGAGAAGACGCGCAGTGGACATCACAGCTAACAGGAGCAAAACTCTCCCACAGAGCACGACAGCGTCCCGCATTACGAAAGCCACGACTCCAGCGCACCCACGCGTCCAACAGAGTGCGATCTACAGCTTTGAGAGCTTTCCCAATCTCTTCCCAACGCACCGTCGCCGGCGTTGCAGGGCCACTGCGACCTGAATCCTCGTTAAAGTCGTCTTCGTAGCTGACATTGTTGTCTACATTCTGCTCGCCTTCCTCACCTTCTCTTGGTGGTGGAAGGTGCTCCAGGAACTTGACTGCTTTATCTTGCATAGCCTTGTGTGCTACCCACGCAGCGTAACTTTCTCGACTCTGTTCCCGTCGACGTCGATCTCCCTCAAGCTTCCCACGGAGTGCTGGATTATTGCGGCGTTCAAAGAGGTAATGCTCTTTCGAGAACAGCTTCGAGTCAGGGTCGTCGCCGTCGTCGTCTCCGTTGTCCTGATCGAAGTTATCCCGCAGCACGTGACCCTGTTGAACCAGCAATTGTTTACTCTTCTCCAAGTCTCCCCCACGACCTTGGAAACCTTCACTCATAGCGTGCACATACTTGAGACCGCTGTCCCTCATGAGCTCTGCGGTGGAGCTTGGAGGACGACAAACCTGCTTCTGACGCACAACCCCCGACCCCAAAGAGAAGTCGAAGCGAGGAGGTTGCGGGGCTTGTCGAACTGGTCTCGCGCCGTCATTTGTCTCTGGAGCTGGCATACGGATACGAAGGCGGTCTTTGCGACGAACCCAGGCATTATGTGCCACGATTCCACCCTCCGCTTTCTCTCGGGCTTCTTCTTGACGAGCATTCTCCACAGCTTCAGCGTCTTCCTCGAGCCACTGCAACATGCGCCGTACGCCAAGACGATTCAACGCTGCCATCTCCACATCGGCGGTGCATTTGCCAGAGCTTTGAGAGTTGCCTGCCATTGCTGCCATTGTCTTCTGAAAATGTTCAGCTACGCGGAGTTGAGCCTTCTGCCAGTATTTCTTGCAAAGTCCCAGGAAGAAGGCGTTCTGCTTCTTCTGGTCTGCTGTGAGTGAGCGACGAGCGGCGATCTTGGCTGTATCCCCCTTCTGAGGCTTAACCGCAGCGTGCCATTTGAGCGTCATGTAATACGTCAAAGTGCCGTCTTCGCTCTTGTCTTGGTCCATCATCTGCCGCGTACCTGCAGAGAATTGTGTCGCTTCGTCTTCAGTGAGCGGCACACGTGAGAAGGTGTGACTCTTGGTAGTCCACTTGACCCACAAATCGCCCAGCGAAGGCACAGGGCAAGTGCAAGGGCGTTGAAGTTTTACACCTTCAGGCGATTCCAGGATACTACACTGCGCTAACACGGTCTGAGCCACTCGAAAAGCTGCTGTGGTAATGCGAACGCTGGTGCCATCCTCGAGACTAAGACTTTGACCTTCACCCACGCGTACAATTACTCCTGCGAGCTCCAATATGGTCTTTGTACTATCAAAAGACCCAGTCACGGCCTGTTCAAAAGGCTCCAGCACTTTAATCATCTTTGGAGAAATTGCTCCTGGCTTCGTACCGATGCAACGTCTACAGAGAGAACACTTCCGGGCTGGACACTGACAACGGGTTCGTTGCCTTGCTACGGAATGAGCTGGCTCACGACACACGCCAGGGCAGTCACACGCTGACATTTTGCCTGTCTTGAGCTGGCAATCGGTAGCAGCCAATGCCACTGCTACTTCGAACCAGGAATCCTCACTGGCAGCTCGAGCTGAGTCTAGTTGTGCCAATGCGCGTGCCATGCGTTCGTACTTGTCTTTCCGAGCTACCCACACGTCGAACTGCACCTTGTTCCCCTGGGACTTGCTACTGACACCTTTGGACTCTTGAAATTCCACGGCGCTTCGCTTCGTTTTGCTTCCGGCTTTGTCTGTTGCAGCTTCCAGCGCGCGGTCCTCGTCCTCGAACGCATTGTTCTCGTACAGATCGTCAATGGAATCGTCTCGAGTAGAGGAAGGTGGACGTCTCAAAGTCTCTTTGCTGCTATGGGATCTCAACTGCTTGCCGGCCACCATAGCCCAGATGAGCAAGTGCACACTCGACACTCCCCAATCGACCAAATCAATAGGAAAGGGCTTGCAGAGACAAGAACACAGATTGGGATTGGCGAAACTACTGGTATGAGATCCCCTCGTAAGTGAAAAAAATAGCACAAAGTTGCCTTCAGAATAACCGATAAACCTTCTCATGCTCACCAGTCTCGACAGTCGATCTCAAGTGGTTTGTTACAGTCGTTGCTACAAGTCCAAGGTGCTCAATCCTCGTCGTCTTCCTCTTCGTAGCCATCGCTGTCAGCCTCCATTCCGCCCTGGAAGAGAATCTCGCACACACGCTCGTCCACAAGCCACTCATCCTCATGTACAGGCAGTGCCAGGAAAAACCCAATGACGTCCACAGGGTCCAACTCCTCGTCATCAGCTCCCATCCAGTCGCCGATAGCAGCGAGCACCTCGTTGTTAAAGCGGAAGCCACGCAGGTCCTCGCCAAAAGTCTTCTCGCCCTGTTCCTCCTCCGCAAACCCCTCTTCAACATGCTCGTCGTTCTCCTCCTCTTCATCACCCGACGGCAACTGCTTCTGCTCCTCGTAGTAACTTTTGGGGTATGCGTACTCACAGGCCATCTCAAAGTGCAACAGTTCTCTTGGGTTTGCATCGTTATCTCCGACTGCCACCACGACTGTAAATCTGATGAGCGTCTCCTGTTCGCCTTCCTCCTCAGCCTCCTGCCTCACTCTTTCAAACTTATACGTGGTGATCAACGGTCCCTTCTCTTCCTTTGACACTGACGCCATCACTTTCTTGCGCTTCTTTGTGGGCTTCTTGCAGCTCTGTGGCTCCAGTGTCCAGCGCACGTTCGTAGTCATGACCACGTTGCGTTGGACGTCGTAGTCACAGCTGCAGCTATCCACCGTCATCTTCTCAGCCAGCGTCTTATATACGGTCGATAGACTCGTTACGCCCTGGATTAGGTCCATGGACACCGGGTGCTTAGCGAGATGCTCGCGCACACGAGTGGTCTCGAACGCCAACTTCGCCTGGGCGCTTAATGCTCGTAGCACATCCAGGCGCAGCGCCAGATCGCTGCTCTCAAAGTGCTCCACCAGGCGCTCGATGGCAGCGTCCACATCAGCAGAGATGCTGCTGCCGCGACGGTCGTACGCTCCGTTCATCTTGGTCTTGAGCTGTAGCGACTGGACCAGATTCCGCGGACTTATGCGGGAGAATGTGCACTTTTGTACCGGTTTACTAAAGACATGGTACTGTACCAAAAAACAATTAATGCGGCCTTAATCGAACGTTTGGTCATAACTGTTTAAGATTTACTGAATAATAGCTGACCCCATGGACGCGGATCACACAATGGACAACACCTCTGCTGCGCCTCCGACGCAGTATGCGCAGCAAATTTCGGCCGCCGATTTCGACCGCCAGGCTGTGGAGTACACGACGCAGGAGGTGGAACGACTGAACGCCGCCGTGCGTGCACAGCCGGAGCTCGGTGCGCGCTCCGAGTTTTTCCAAGACGAGGCGAATGTGGCCAAGGGTCTGCCAGTTTTCCAGGGGAAGCACACGCGCTTCGTATATGACGATGAAGAGGGAGAGATTGTGGCGGCCGTGGACGTGACGCAGGAGGCGCTGAACAATGGACCCGTGGTGCGCACAGTCGCGGAGTTGGACGAGGACGTTGACAGCGACGACGAAGGAGAAGAAGATGCAGAAGGATATGATGAAGAGGAGGACGAGGCGGTGCGGAACGCATTTTACAGTGCAGACGGTATGGCTGTGGACGACGCGCACGTGAACGCATTTATGGAGGACGTGGAGATGGAAATGGCTGCAGTAGCCATCGACGAGCAGAAGCTGCTGAGCGCGGCTTCTCAGAGACAGTGAAAAGGATGAAGAAGGGAGGGGGTTGGAGTCTGTATTTTAGTGGTGGTTGCCATTGAGAGATTCAAGTGGAAGCAAGACACGAAGGGAAATAGAACGGATTAGGCTTGTGCATATATCATCATCCTGCGCTGGGCGGCATGTTCACCATCATACCGTCTACTCTGTTGCCTTTAGAATACTTTAAACTTGGATAGGAACCCTGTTTTCTGAGGCGTGTTGCCGGTCTTCTCCGCTTTAAGACGATCTTTAAGTGTCTTGGCCTGCAGCTGCTGCAGGAAAGCCTTGTGGTCCTGCTTGAGCACAAGCATCGTGTTCTCCTTGATGGGCTCGAACATGGACTTAATGGGGCAGCCAAGACGCAGCTGGACGGACTTACGGTCCAGATTGGTGCACGACACCTCGTAAGGGGAGCCTGGAGCGATAAAATAGAGATAGAGATTCCAGGCGAAATCCTTGAGGTCGTCGGCTTTCATCTGCAGTGCCATCTCTTCGTATCGCCGAATTTGACGCGCACACTTGAGGTTTTCAGCCTTAAATTCTGTATTAGCACAAGCAGGTTATTAGTAGAGCACTACCATCGCATTGTTATAAAGTTGTACCATCCAACGTACTCTTCTCAAGGTAATCGAGCATTTCACGGAAGAGAATCTTGTCGCCTAGAATCTCGTCCAGCGAGAAATTGCCCTTTGCAATTTTCTCGTCTGTGAGTGTCGTTGCTGTCGGCATGTCGATCTGGTATGAGTTGTCCGAGTCAAGCACCTTCTTGACAATCATTTCGTGAACAGACGACACTTTAGTAGCCATCTCGGTGTACTGCTGCGCCTTGAGGAAGCGCATGAGTGTGTCCTTCTGCAAGGTCTTAATGGCATCCTGCATTGCGACATCGAAGAGTTTGGCGCGGAATTCGCCTGGTCGTTTCATGCGCTCCTGAGTCTGCTCACGGTCGTCCGAGGGAAGACTCACCTCGTTGGGGGAGTTTAAAGACAAAAAGTCTGCCCAAATTTGGTCTGCCATCTCCTTGCACGACTGCACCGACTCCGGGTCGCGGAAATCCAGCAGACCGCACTCGTCCTTGAACTTGTCGACAGCCATGAAGAAGTTGAGGTTCTCTGCGCAGTACTGTAAAGGTGTCTTTTAGAAGCTCGTCCTACTGGCACAAGCTCAAATTGCATTATATCAAGATTGCCCTACCTGTTTCTGGCAGAAGTCGAGTAGGTAGCCACAGGAAATGGGGTTCGAGATAATGTCGTCGATGACAATGTCTTGTTTGTCCTTGTTGCCCTTCTCCAGCACCTTCACGAGTGTTTCGATCTCATTGCCACCTTTCCTTGACATGGCTGTGCGTTGGTGACGTCGAGTAACAGCAACTGATGCAGCCAGAAGGAGAAGCAGGAGTGGGGGAATCGAAAGGCACTTGGATGCAGTTATTTTCGTGCATGTTGGTTGCTCCTTCCTCCAGGAGCATCCCAGCATCGACCGATTTAGCTGCCAAGGTGTAGAGGAAAACCTTTCGCCCGAAGCGCACAATCCAATACCCTTTATTTTGAGCAACTCTTGGGGTAACGTAATTTGCCAGTATAGTGCGTGATTTTGGGCTCGTTGAAAATAGCCCAATTGCAAAAATGAAAAAAGTTAAGTGAAGCTAAAGACTCAATAGATTCGTGTTACGCAGGCTAATATGAATGACTTTGAACCCCACTAGATCGCGTTCGTCTGTCCTTCTCACCTTCGATCTGTTAGTGCCCCGATTTATCATCGCCGGTGATCGCACTCGTCACGTAGTTCACCCCCGACGACACGGCCCCCGTCGCTCGCTCCATCAACGACGGCTCCTCCGGGTTCATCTTGCTCGAAGCTTCGGACGCTTTGTTGGAGATACCATCGGCTGCGGCGGACGCTCGCTCTCCCATCGCCTTCTTCGTAGCTCCGAACTGGTCCTGCAATGACTCAAAGCCATGGAACGTCGACTCGCGGGTGGAATAAAAGAGCGACGAGATGGAGTCCTGCATGGATGACAGGGTACTGGAGCCCTTGTCCTTGGCAGTGTCCGCGCCTGAGCTGATGTGGTCGCGCGCGCGCTGGTCGTAATCACGAGCGGAGCTGCCCAGGTCATCAAGTGACGAGTTCGCCTGCTCCATGGAGCGCTTGGCGGCATCGACAGCATAGTCCGATGCGTTGTTCCCTTGTCTGCGAACTTCTTCGGCTTTTTGCTTGAAGTCATCCACTGACTTTCTAGCCCGGTCCATGACGCTCTCGAAATAGGATGAGGCTGTCTCCTTCGACGATTTGTGCGAGCTGTCGTAGTCGGTGAGCTTGGACTTGAGGGAATCAAGGTAGTTCGTTGCTTCATTGGCACCGTTCTGCATCATTTCTTGCAACTTCGAGAACTCCTGCTGGGCGGCGTTGTTGTTCGAGGTCTTGTCGGAAATAGCCATGGTTGGTTTTTAGTAAAAGGTGTTGTTTAACTTGTGCGCTTGAGATCAAGTATTGGAATGAGCCGTACTAGGCGAGCAGCTCATCGCTGATGTTCATCAGCAAGCGTCAATCGATCGCAATGACCTGCGCCACAAAGGATGGAAGCCATCTATTTTTTATGGCTGCAATAGAACGCTTTAGAAATCTCAGCGGTGAGAAAAAATCTTTTTTTAACAGTCGGCGTCCAATATGTCAGATAAAGACTTAATTATTATGCTTAAGCTTTGCTTCGAAGTAGCTGTGATATTGTGCCACTTTCAGGCATTCCAACCGAGGTCAAACCTAAACTCTCTTTATCTCTTTATCCACAGCTCCGCCAGTGATGGCCATCCCCGACAAGACTACCAACAACTACAATCAGCAGAGTTCTCCATGCTGCATGAAATGATGCAGCGCGGTGCAAACGAGGCGTCGAGTTACCTGGACTCAGGGAACCCGAAGACATAATTTATATCAAATTCAAAGGACATCGAGAAATACATTACGCGCAGCAACCTAAGAACTCAGCAAATAATTAATTGGAGCGGGGAAATTGCAAACGTAGATTATTAGTGAAATAAACTACATAGCCTGGTTGAAGCCGCCTAAATCCAAGCATCCACGGTGGTGAAAGAAGAGAGTAGTTTTTGTTGGGGTGTTCCTGGGAAGTTGCAGAATGAGCTAGAATATGCGTTTCGGAGAAGTCGAAGGGCTCAAAACCAACCATAAACTGTTGGTTGTAGGAAAATTAATTCTGTATCGTGGTACACCAACTTCGTAAATACATATTTTGCTGAAGCGTTTGTCGTAAATAAATTATTGAGAGAAACAATAAACAATAATTGGCAATAAATAAATTTATCAGGTTCCCTGGCTTTACCGACTACGATAATTCAGAGCGCAATGGACCGAGCCAGGTCAGCTGTGGACGATATTCAGGAGGCCGGGAGAAGACGTTCGCAAAGATGGCAGCGAGGTATCAGGCTCCGTCGTTGATGCCGCCAAGCGCTCCATGGAGCAAGTAGGGTCGGCATTCGACATCCCGGGTAAGTCCGTGCAGGCGTACGATCGATATGTACGCGACTCCATCAACGCGATCGTCCACGATGGCGAGGAAAATGGCTCCAGCACGCTGTCGTCCTGGCAGAATTCCATCTCATCGCTCGTCAATTCCACGCGCGACGCGACGAGTCGTTGCAGAGCCAGTTCGTAGCAACTAGAAAGGCAATGGCGGAACAGGCATCCTCCGTAGCGGACGGTATACTCCACCAAGGCTTCGGAGTCGTCCAAAAGTTGAAGCCAGCGGATACGGCTTCAAAGAGCGACCCCACTATGATGGATCGTCTGACGGAAGCGGTGTCATCAGGACTCCTGATTCAGGAGTCGACCATGTGACAATACCAAGAATACGCTCACAAAGATCTCGTATTAATACATGTACCGGTAACAGACTATGGAACAGTAATCCTACAGTGCCTCGGTTAGATCTTGCTTTAAACTTGTCACCCCGTCATTGTTGCGTGTCCAAACGTTACCGGCAACCAAGCAGGCACCAAGAACAACGATTAACAACAGTACCTCGTATTTGCTAGCTCTTAGCATGTCGTATTGAGACTTGTTTGAAGAACCAAGATCAAACGGCGGTGACCGACATTCTCATCGACGAAGAAGAATCAAAGTTTGAGAAAAAGCTTACCAAACCCCCTTCGCATGAAGAGCACTGGCCGTTGTCATTACCTGTCATGCCCGGTTCGAATTGTCAAGAACTCACACCCACCACTCGCTGGGACGAGGTGTTCACGACCAAAACTTCGGAAAGCTCTAACGGTGCTGCCTGTAGGCTCGAGCGGAAAACTTTCTCATTGTGCGATTAACCGCTTGAGCCACACACATCGACAGCGAAGGGCAGTCAGATACCAACGGAATGGCTGACCTGCAGAGCAAGATGAATGCCCACCAACAAGACATTGACCGTGCCAAGGAGCAGATTCACGACACCACCCAGAAGGCTGACTCGTATTTGACCGAGGTGAGTTTAAAGAATGGAATAATAACCGGATGTCTCGCTGACCCGTGCCTATGACCTCCTCCTTCAAAGTTGACGAAGCGTGTTGAAGAATACGAGACGAACCATTCTGACTTTGAGCCTGCTGGTCAGTACTTGAAGTCGGCGCTTGACGCATCGCGTTCGGCGACGCAGAAGTTAAAGACCCAGGGCCAGGACCTGTCGGAGCGATCGGTTCCCGTGGCAATCGATGGTATGAACGCCGTTCAAAAATCTTTGGACGATCTTCAGAAACAAGCGGTTGCCTACGATGACAAATACGCGGGCTCTCGTGGGCAGCAAGCCATGGATACTTTGCACCACTGGGTAAATGCTGGATGTCAACGTGCGACTGACACAATTGAAACAACCAACGAGCAGTTGACAAAGTTGCGTGACGCTGTCGGAAATATGGCCGGCCAAGCTACTCATGGAGCACAAGTGGCTGTCGGCGAGGCCGCACGTGTGGCTGAATACGGTGACGAGAAGCTGGGAGTGAGCACTGCGGCTGGTGGAGTCGTCCAGAAAGTCCGCGACTTGGATGCACGCTTAGGTGTGTCGGCCACGGCTGCCAAGGTGGACACGAAGATAACTGGTGGCCTTGGCTGCAAGGTGGCTTCAACTACTGTGGATATTGTGACGGAGAGCGTGACCTACATCTCGGAGACGCTGCACAACGCGAAGCTGGCAGCTCAGCAGTCCGATACAGCTCAGAGTGTTGAAGCGAAGGGAGCAACTGCCGCTGGCGCTGCTGCATCCAAGAAGGACGAGGTGCAAAAGACTTTTAGTGAAAGCTTTGAGAAAGGGAAGGACAAGGTTGGCATGGCTACGCAGAAGACTGAAGAGAAAGCAGGTGAGGTGAAGGACGTTACTGCGGAAAAGACCGAGCACGCGAAAGAAAAGGCTCAAGATGAAGCGAGGGGGGCGAAAGGAAAGGCAGGCGAGATGACCGAGTCGGCTAAGGAGAAGGCGGGGCAGACGAAAGAGACTCTAAAACACAAGGCCGGCGAGGCTGCGGAGACAGCGAAGAACAAGGTTGGTATGGCTAAAGATAAGACTGGCGAGACTGTTGACCAAGCTAAGGAAAAGAGTCAAGAGAAGGTGAACCAAGGGACACGTAAGGTTGGCGACGCGAAAGATAAGACCCAAGAGGAGGTTGGAGAGTCGAAGGAACAGTCCAAGGGAATTGTTGGCCAAGCCGCTGACAAAGCAAGCGATTTAAAGGAAAAAGCCAAAGAGAAGGTTGGATCGGCCGCAGACACTGCCAAAGGTATGGGCACGCGAACGGAGGCCAAGACGACGAAGCCCAAAGAGCCGACACTTACTCAGGAGCAGACCGACACGGAGAAGGGTTTGGAAGCTGCTAAGCAAACGCGTGCAAAGGGGTCGGAAGCAGCAAAAACCGCTGCTGGAACGGCTCACAAGGAGTTGCATGACAAGCACGCGAAGCTCGGGAAGATAGGAGGGGAGCGCGAGACGCCTGGATTCAAGGAAGCGCAGCAGCATGCGTCAAAGAGCTCCAAGTGAAGTGAGGCTGAAGATGAGGACAAAGCGTGGTTGCGAGGCGTGGCGCCTCAGCCTGTTGGGTCGATCACTTTCATCACGTTGCATATCTAAGATTGCTGATTATTTTTCTTGGGGAGTTGCGCACGATGAAATTTTTTGGAGCTCAAGCTAATCTAATGAATTCTCACTTCTTTAATTTTCATTTTCTCTTTTAGTCTTTCAGTGTATCACGTAGTAGTAGTCCAATATATCTACGTAAATTTTGTTCCGGTTTATAATCTGGTCATTTGATAAACAATCAGCAGCAATTCCATTTGTTACAGCTTCGCATTGATCTAAAAGTCGAAGGGGTTAAACGATTTACTTGTCACCGGACGTGGCGGTTGCTGGGATTTTAAGGCGCGCTGGAGATTGTCAAATGGATTGCCTGGAGCAGGAGTCGAGATAGAAGCCTACGCAACGGTACCACAATTGGGTCAACAGCAAGGAAGCAAACGGCAAATGAGTTGACACAACGAACCTTTGTTGAAAAGTCCAACATGTCGAAAGGGTCGCTCGAGCTTGCTCCTAAAGTGCCGCTTGTGCTAGAAGGCCCCGGGAGTGATGCAACGGACGTGACCGATTTTGAAAACGAGTTGCTGCCTGCGAAAGACCAGTATCGTTAGATCTGTAATGAAGTTATTCGAGCGAAGCATTACCAGTCCATGGATCTTGACTAGGCGATTCGGCCGATACAGTAGGCACGACCGCAGGCTGTTGAGTAGAACTGCTAAGGGGACTGTCCCCAAACCAAAGATCAGGCTTTGCTGCTGGTTGGGCTACAATGGGAGCTGGAGGTATCGCGGGCGTATCTGTTCAGTCAAACCATCATCAGTGCCACTGTAACACCCCATACCGATACGATCTTACCATCCCACAAGTCGATCAAGTTCTTCGCAGGTACACCAGAGGCTGCAGTGACAGCAGACTTCGTCTCGTTCTCAGCATCCTGGTTACTGCTACTGCTAAAAATTTTGGTTGCCCTCTGCTGCACGAAACTTGCAAATGGGTCGTCCTCGTCTTGCTGAGGTGACTTTGAGGCAGTCTTGACGTGACCTTCAGGCTTCAATTTATCTTCCTTAAGGACAGTTGTTTCCCTCTTTGATCCAGTCCGAGCACGCACAAAATCCGCAAACGGGTCGTCATCGCTTGAGTTCTGGTTGTCTTCGTCTTCGTTGCCTTTCGAGGGCATGTCGTCCTTTAGTCCAAACGGATCGATGAGGTCAATTTCATCCGGTTTGGTTTTTGCAGCAGCCTCTTCTTCGACCTTTTGATTTCCTGCTAACAGCGCATCATATTTGTTCAGCGCTGCATGAAGGTCATCATTGGCCGAAAGATACTTCTCAAGATTCTGGTACAGCACATTAAAATAGGCTAAGGCAGCACTCCAACACATTGTACACTAGGTAACAGAAGCTCACCTCGTCCTCTTCAGCAACAGCGATTGGAATGGCGCCTTCCAGTCTGTGTACAATCTCCCTCACTTCAACGGCGAGTTCCTCCATCACCCCGTGGTTTCCAATTGAAGATGCGGCCTTTCGTGCCTCGAACAGCATATCTTCGAACATTTCCAACACATTCGTCGCGACACGATACAGCTCAAGAGTCGACAGTCCTCCCAGTTCATTACTAGTATTTGAGTAGGACGACGTGTCGATTGAACTCGAGCCACGAGTCTTGTTCGACAATGTTGACAGGCTACTGCGTCCACTTGAGTGCACCTCCGGAGTCAGCACCGGCACCTTGGACTCGTCATATTGATCCGGGAACTTGACGCCTTTCTTGCGCATATTGTGATACGTGTTCACAAAGAGTGGAAAATCGTGCTGTTACCACAATCGCCCATCAAGTTAGTACTATACTGCTGCAATTTTAGCAACAAAGTTGAATGTACTCACCCGGAACGGTAAGAAAGCTTCGCCCCAGGCCTGAATCATGTCAAGTACACGACTGACGATCTCCATACTATCGCGACCACGCTTGTTCGCATGCGTCTGTAATAGCAAAAGTTAGTAAGTCCAGCAGCTTACAAGTGGTGTAATAATCGGGGGGGGGGGGGGCTGTACCCTGTAGAGCGCCTCCATCTCGCCCATATATTGCTCCGTAGCTATCTCCTGATGCACGAGGTCTCCGCAGTTCTTGACGATGGACTCGGTCAACGTCAGTGCCAGAATCACCACACGAGACGACGGATCTCCCAGCCGCAGCTTCAGATACCGGATCGATTCTTTCAGCCTATTAAGTGACACACACCCGCAATTATAACTGCTTCTATGCTATCCCAGCGGCGCTGAACGTACACAGCGCGATTGCTAACGTTGCTGAGCGCGTCAACGACTCGCAGAATGCGGTCCCAGTCTTCATCCGCCTCGTAGTCGCTCGTGGCCTCCGCAATCATGTCGGTCATTTGTTTGATACGCTCCACCTCTGTGGGCGTGTACAAGACAGCCACCGACTTCTGCTGCACGAGCTGGTTGATGGTGGACGTAAGCGCGCGCTTGCTTGGCATCTTCTTGCGCCAAGCCTCAATTGTAGCGTCCATACTGCCAAGACACGGAATGAAGATGAAGTGGCTGTTTTGCTGTGTCGGAAGAGGAAGTGTGTACTCTGATTGGTTGAAATTGATATCATCCTACATTTACGAAAAAGCGGGAAAACAATCGGTGTCACCGACAGAACGTCAGCCGAGATACGAAGAAGGGTGGGAAGAGAACAAGAGGCCAGAGAAGGCGATACACGTTTTAAATGGAGACGCCGGCTGCGCATGGTAGGAAAACTGTCGTAGGCAGGAGCACTTGTAATAATATCTTACAGTTTACATGGATGCATTTAAGGGCGGCTGCGGCGGGATCAAAAGGTCGACCTGAATTACATGCTGGCTACACTCGGTATCGAGGAAGGATAATACCAACGATCTCCCTGACGAAGAAGACAAGGAAGTTTTATCTGATTGCTCGGATGCGCACTCTGCCGCACGCATGGGTACGACTTCGGCCTATCATTTCAGTTGAAACATTTATTAAGTCTTAACAAATTGTGTGTTGTGTAAAGAGCACCACCTGAAAGAACACGCTGCCACGATTGATAAGGGTGTGGAAGCAGTTAAAGCTGGGGAGGAAGTCAAGATGATGAAGAACTCTGTCAAGGAATAGACGGAAGCGATCAGCACGACGTCCGGTAGGAATCGGTTATGCATTTACCGTAAGGTTGCCTTACGTTTGTGGTTGCTGTAACTATACTCTGCTTATTGGATATATGTGGTTATTCTTGTAGAGCACAAGAAGGAGGGTTTATCGATCAGAAAAAAGCGGAAGGTTGAGGAAATCTATTACCGCGGATGATAGCGCCTGTGGCGATGATGGTAAATCAACACGGCTGGAATATGTACCAAGCAAAAGCTCAAGCAAGCACATCGAAGAGCTGCACTCGCTGATCTCGAAGCAAGACGAAATTACAAACGTCATTCCCCCTTTCCCATCGGAGCCCATTTAATCATAAGAAAAGCTTGAGAGTGTCCTCAAAGAATACAAGCAGAAGAACAATCTAAAGTTTCGGGCACGGAGTTCGGAAACGACGGCTGTCTACAACAGGTACGGAGTCGTGTTTGTTCTCCTAAAATGCAGTATTTAACAGAGGCGTGCTATTGCTAATCAGATCACACGGTCAACAGATCCCGACTGACTTTCAGTGAACACACAAAGTTTATCGCTGCACACACGGCGTTTCGCAAGAGTCACGGTAAAAGGGCCATTGGAATCGCAAACGACGATACTGCGGTTGCAAGGCACGATTCCCACCCAGTGTCTCTGGACAAGATGACAACACGTATGCGATCATTATCCGGAATGAGGTATGCAATCTGGTTTTCATCGTTGTTTTTCTTATTGTCAATTAACTGTTAAAGGTTCATGACTACAGGACTGTACGCATTCGCATCCTACGTCTTCTTCCCAAGCTTCGACATATCTTACAACGAAGACTCTGCCACTCGACGCCCAAGGCCGCGAGGACGTGAAAACCCAGGCTGACGCCTGTGTGTCGTCCACACACATTGCAAATGTCCTAAGTGATCGCATTGGTAGGGTGTATGCGTCTGAATTTTAAGTGCTTTGGAATATAATATTTATCTTATGTTTCGTGTTTGGTCCTATTTAGTCTACAAAGTAGCAATCTTATTCGCAGTATTGCTGGTCAGGATACTGGCGAGGATCGCCTAAAGAGCATGCTCCATTGTATTCGTCAAATCGATGGGAGCGACGTACTTGTGCTTCAAGATCAAATGGGTATAACTTGCGGGGTCGTCATGCAGACAAAGGTTCAAAAGCTGATGTTTGAGCGGTGGGGCGAAACGTTGGCGATGGACTTCACGCACGGCACGAACAACCTCGGGTATCATTTGGGTACGTGTAGTTTCAAGGCTGGGCTTGGGTTTTAAAGCAACAGTTATGGCAACCATAGCAATATTGATATAGCAACCATAATTTTTAAAGCAACTTTAACTATCGGTTTTGCTACTGGTTTGCAGAAAGTTTAATCGTCACTACCGCCACTGGAAGAGGTTTCCCAGTTGTCGACTGCATTTGCCTGAACGAGCAGGCGGACACTATCTCGACGATTTTGAAGTACTTCAAGGAAAATAATGTGCGGTGGCGGGAAGTCGAAACAATAGTTATCGACAAGGATTTCACAGAATGGAGAGTTCTGGAGGAATCTTTAACACAAGCAAAACTTTTGCTCTGCCAGTTTCATGCTATATCATATTGGAAAAAGGTGACCAAGCGTACCGTGTATAGGATTAACCCATGTAGACCGAACTCTATTCTGTATTATACAGAACAATTGTTTGACTTGATTAACATATTGCTGTTAGCTCGGTAAAATTAATCCGTTGCAAGCCGTTCGGCATGAGCAGTGTCGTAGACGCTGTGAATTGGGACATAGGTGATGTTTTGGTTGCCATAAATGCAACAATGTACCCACCATCTGTACGATATCTCTGTTTTTATTGGCTTAGAAATGATGTGCAGCGAACGATGTCTGTCATAAAAACTTTGATTATCAGTATCCCCCGGAATCCGATAGCAAAACGGTTTTGGCGCCAGAATGACTGGTCGCGCTAAAGGTTTGTCGGCGCGTCGGCGCGTTCCCACACCAACTTTTCGGCCAGTTCTAGACTAGACGGAAGTGAAGAAGAACTAGGCTAGAACTTGGCCGAAATGTTGGTGTGGGAACGCATAGAGCTGCTGACAGGGAGAAGGAGGTATTTATTTCAATGCGGCATTAGAAACTAATACTTCGCTAGCTAACCTCGGCATGCTCTCATGCATCTTCGCTGCGTTTACGCTTACGGAATCGAATATCGTTCCTCAGGTTAGCAGGTATGGCAGTGCCGTTTGCCCAAGAGTCATGCCAAATTTGATCGCATGTGAGTAGGTTTCCTGCTTCTTTTCGGCGCACGCAGCTGCAGAGGGGGGCATATCCATCGTGCAGCTCCTCACAGGCCTCGCAGAAAAAACGGCTCTCAAACCCTTTGGTTTTTGGTGGAGCCATAGCAGAACAAACCTTGCATAGGTACTGACGTCGCTTGTCCTTGTATTTTCTCTCTTGCTCTTGTAGTTGGTGCTCGGCTCGAGGCAGTGGGATCGAGGCCAAGTCTTCTGCTTGCTTATTACTAGCCAAACTTGTCGCGGTGAGTGCTAATAACTCGACATGTAAGAGACGCATGTACTCTGCATGACTTGGTACTGGTTTGCCATCTTTTCGCATTTTTATCTTATGCACGATGAAGCCGTTCACGATGGCCATGTCGACGAACCCGAGAAAGAGCGAGAAAGAGCGGCCGGTAATACTTCTTGAAGGCAACGCATCGCTTGATTATATACCTCTGGAGACGTAACTGGTCGTGCCGGTCAACGCCCCCCATTCCACTATGATAATCGGCAAGTAGCTTAGGACATGGCACCACTTGAGATATCGCGGATCCCTTCTCCTTTCTGGTGACGGTGGTAGCCGTGGTTGCACAACCGGTAGCAATTAGATTCACCGGTTTTGAGTCCATCCAGGACACAGCAACCAGGTCAGGGTGATCCTTCGACTGGGCAATACGATAAGTTCCTCGGGGCATCGACACGGGCCGCTTTTTTCTGTGTGAGCGCAAATCCAGCTGGCCACCCGAGACGGTCGCTTCGGTGTGTCCCGACGTAGTAATACCCTTTCTCCATCAGCGCGATCGCGAGTGCGCACGATGAGTAGAAGTTATCCGCAATTATAAGACGTTTTCCCTGCTGCCCATCCAGAGCTTTGGAGACGTTGCGAATGATAGCTTTCTGCGCGACTCCCTTCGCTTTATACTTGGCTACTTTTCGCTCTGCAGGAGTCTGCGCGTTCTTCGACTCGTCCGAGGCACCCATGTACACTTCAATGCTGAGCCATACAGAACACCAAGCACAATAGTCAGCTGACTCCGTATCCGACAGAGCATGCCATTCTGTACCATCCGGAACAAGCTAATCAGCGTAGCTTATGCTGTATCGTACAGAGTAAAAAGAGAATACGAACCGAGAACAATACCCGGATTCCGCACAGCAGGTCATGTACACCTTCGTCCCGTACTTATGCGGTTTGTCCTTGTTGTAGACGCGCACCGGATTGAACTTACTTCGGTTAGGAATGGTCCCCTCGTCGAAGCTAATGCGCGCTCCAAGTCGATACCCTCGGCGAAACGTCTTCTCCAGTGTCTGCAATACAGGTCGCACCTTCCAAGCCTTGTCAATCGTAGCAGCGCCCGCGGCTGAGCTCTGAAAGTGAAGGTATCTCATGATGGTACTAAAACGATCCCGAGACATGTATCTGTTGAACGTTCCTCGGGGTATCGCTCCATCCTCCTGTGTCCGCCAGTGCTTGTCGAGGCCATCCGTGTGACTGCACAGCGACCGCGCTATCAGCAGACCCACCACATGTAAAATTTCGTGAGCCTTTATCGATCTTGTCTTCGTCAGCTTCTCCAACAATGCTTCTACTGGTTGTACTGTCTTCGTGGGGTCCTTTGCACTAGCCTCGAGCTGCTTAGCACGCTGGGCGGCAGCGACACTTGGTATACACTCGATACGATACGCCTCGGACTCCTTCGCAATGTGAAACCACAACTTCTTAGGGAGAAAGTAGAAAAACATACCCAACGGCGAACTGGCGAAGGCTGCGGCAGACCTGGTGGGCCCCCATGTTCCGTTGTATAAGTCGGTTGCTTTATCAAGCTGTAGGTCGCCTGTACTCCGGATTATACAGAATTGCAAACATGTTAGAAAAACTACCAGGCACAGCATATAAAGAGGCAGCTGAAAGTACTCTGTATGATACTATCTTACCACAATGGTTTTGATCATAGATCTCCCAACCAGAAGCAGCCATCGTGCGCATAGCAATATCATCTTGTGCAAATTCGCTGCTGTCGTCTTCAAACTCGTCATCTGATTCCACCTCGCTTTCGTATAATTCGGATAGGTCCCCAGGAGCATCGACAGGATCTCTAACAGACTCAACGTCTTCTTGAGGCGCCAGGCCATGGTCAGCTATGTTCACGTCGTCCGCATCAACAGGCCCAAACAATCTTTCAGATCTCATCGCGTCGATAAAGTGTGGGGAATCGAACACATCCAGACCGGTCCAACTGGTCGCAACCTCGCCACATCCTTGTTCTGTAGGAGCCGTCACACTACCTTCGACGTCATCACCGTGCTCTGTATCTGCCGCCGCAGTCGGTTCCGTATCTGCCGGCGCAGTTAGCTGCATGGCATCAGCTGGTTCGGTATCCGCCGCCACAGTCTCCTCCTCGGCGCCCCCTTGTTCTGTATCCGCCGGCACAGTCTCCTCCTCGGCGTCCCCTTGTTCTGTATCCGCCGTAACAGGTTTCTCCACGTCGCCCCCTTGATCTGTACCCACCGCCACCGTGTCATCTTCCACTGCACCAGACAAGAAGGTTCGCGAGGGCATTCTTTTCCTTGCAGCTGCATACGCGGCCTGCTTTCCCATTGGAGGCCGTCCGACAGTTATTGGGCCCCGAAAAGAGGGGGTAAGAGGAGGTATCGACCCTTCTCGCATAGCAAAATCCCACAACGCTTTTGTGCCTAGTACATTCAGCGTTAGAAAAAAGCAAGTCATGTTTATGGCGGGCAACACGCACCAACAAAGTACTCCACTCCTGCTTTGTCCTTACGAAGCCGACCTTTCACGCCTGGTTTTACATAGGTGTGCTCCGAGTCCAGGCCTGTCGGCGGTCGTGCCCTCCATCCAGCCTTGATCAGAGAGGCCCATAAACGCTTGAACTCCTTTGGGTCAATCCACTCCGTCATTTCTGGACGATTTCACGAAATGGTGGGCGAGAAGATGGGATGAAGTTAGAATTTTGAAACCTATGGACGAAATGCGTGGGCGAGAAGATGACGGGACGAAGTTAGAATTTTGAAACCTCTGGGCATTTTATATTGCCTTTTCTATTGCAGAGGAATAATACCCGTCTATCTCCCG